GAAACAATTTATGCGACAATGTGAGGTTGAATTATAATTTGATAGATTTTCTCGGCTTTTTTACTATGATAATTAGAATGGAAAATTGAGAACAAATAGTAGAATCCAACAAAATGACTCATATTTCTGACAAGCCTATATATATTGCAACTTAAATTTAAAGTGTGTAACTTGAAGAAAAAAGCATGGGAAGGCGTCTTTAAATCAATCAAATTATTCAAGTATATTGTAATAATTTAAAATATAGCTAAAAAAACGTTTTGCGCTATTTTTTCATCTTCGTATAATCGCATTTAAGAACGCAACCTAGGCAAAATACAACAATGCAAACATGTAAAAAGCGGATACACGTCAAGAAATGTATATGATAGGATTCGCGAACAGGACTGGTACTTGACACATCGCCAAGCCAACGGGCATCGTTCGCGTCAAGCGCGAGCGCGCCCGCGCGCGCAGGTGGGGCCGCCCAGCGATGAGCTTGCCATTCACACAAACACACACAAGACACGTTTTTTTTTCTCGGTGCGGAATGGAAGCATGCGGACAATTTCTCCTTCTCGCCGGAGGATAGGACGACTGTCGTCGAGACGTGCAAAAAAAACGCGGCGCACAAAACATACATACATAAATACACAATGAAAAGAAAAGGATCGATGACAGAAGACATGCAATCTCGAGGAATGAGTATCTTGTCTGAATTGTCAAGAGCTTCTTGCCACCAGCCCCCCCCCACCACTATTGTCTTGAGTGTTCTCGCCTGTTAAGATGATTTCAAGATGATCTTGATCTTTCGTTTTGAGAAGGAGAGAATGCTTCCGGATTGCTATACTGAATTATATTAAGCATCATTAGCGGGTTTTCTCAAAAGGAATCGGCTAAATAAAAACAAAACACGCAAAACATCTTATTTTATTCAATTCTCTTTTATCGTTGCGATTTGTTAATGAAGAGGCCTGCTGTCTTAAGAAGAGGGGGGAGTTGTCACACATGATGCCAAAAATGGTATGAAGGAAACGGAATGCCCAAAATAGAATTTGAGCATACAATGGTGATTGTTGTTTCAAAAAGAAGATATTCCATCAAAATTGAATTTTTAAGTAAAATATAAGATGTTAGGATTACTGAAACCCTTTGTGGCGATAACCAAGGAAGGTCATTTCATCCGCTTTATTTTAATTGGATCACTATTAATGGTCTTAGCCTTTCTATGACAATGCAGCCATCTGCTCTACACTGCTTTCTGACAAGCAGGCTCCTTTAAAAAAGGCTCTTGTGACCCTAGCGTAATACGGAAACAATCGTCATTGAACATCAATCAAGAGTCATGTGAAATTTGGTTTTTTTTTTTCATATTTATGGAAAGAAAGACACGTAGAAACGGGAATATATAGATTTATTATGTGAAGAATAGTAAAGGGGCTGGGGGTACTACCTAGGCAATGTTGGAACACCCGGCGGTGGGCCGGCACCCCCCCCCGAAGCGGACGGCTTATTTGGAGTGGAACGGCCGGACGACGGGTGCCGCCAAAACACCATCCAAAAACGGGCCGATGGGAGACGCAGCCGTTTGGTAATTAGCAAACATAAGCGTGCGAACGGCGTGACCTCCTCGTCGAGCTGGCTCCAAACAAACATGTTGATTAGATGTTTCGCCAACAATTATGTATATGCCGACCCCCTAGGGTCGAAGTATATATTACATACACACAATCAAAGTAAGCAGACACCTATTGTATATAATGACATTTAATGAGCATGACGAGAACGACCTGTTCTCTTTTCATTTTTTTGCGTGTTTCTCATTCGCTTCCTACCGAATTCCTCTCAGCATCGATCTGTTCATTAAAATTGATGTATTGTGTGAAGTATATAGAATACTTGAAAAAATTCAACAATATATAGATTCATATAGATTATGAGGAAAAAAGGAATTAATGAAAAAATGAGAGGGATTCGTATTGGAGGGATGCGACCGACGAGGTCAATCGAATAGATCTGCGCACCGCGATTTACTATTTATAATGGCATTATAGTTATTAGTAATCAAGGGCGAGAGTTTATGAATAGTATATATATATATATACATATATGGTTTTTCAAAGCAAGAAAGTTGTTCACTCGGATTTTATGGCACAATTTAAAAGGCCCGAGAAACGATGAAAACGTTTTATCGCGATTTGCCCATATCTACATATATTTCAAGATTTTATGCCAAGAGTACTGTAGAATTTATTGGCATGAGAACGTCAAATAAAAATGATAAGGAAATGGCAGCGAGGTATCACCATTTTGTATTACAATAGAGGGTTGAAAAGAAGGAAAAAATTTATTTGAATTTTTGCTTTGAAAAGATGCCAAACGAATTGTATTTATAAATTCGAAGAAAAAAAAACGAAGACGCCATCTAATCAAAACCAGATAATGACGAAACAGATAAAGAATGCCGCAACTAATGGATTAAGCCATGCAATTTTTTGGGTGACACACGTTTTGGGAAAGCGAAAATTGGACTATAATGCGGAGGGTTTTAAACGCATCGGAAGTATGTAGAAGGAAGTAGGTCACACATGTTGAGTAGACGCAAAATGTTTCGTGCTTATTGTGGGCCGATCATCTTGTAAATGAGTCGGATGTTGGTGCAATGATTCGAAAGCAAATCGACATGAGAGAGAGAGAGACGGCGAAAAAAAAGAAGCATATATTGGTGGAATCAGAACGATTAGATGCGTTTTTTTGAACAGCGCACGGTTCTTTCGTTGTGTAAATAGGTAAAAAGATCAGAGGTGCTCAATATGCGGCGAAAAAATTTTTCCGAGAAGGTGATGATCATCTTGTTACCCATCTGGCGGGCCGAGCGCGGCGCAATGCGTTTTGTTTGCGCGCGGTCATCGCTTGATGATAAAGCGCAAAAACTCGATTGATACGTATTGAAAGCGGGTCAATTATTATTATTATTATTGTTGGACTTGCGTGGGTTTTTGATCGCTTAGAGAATGTTAAAAAATGGTAAAAATTTCAAGTCAAAATTCCATATATGCAGAAGTTAAAAAAAAATTGAATTAGATAATTTTTGAAGGTGAAATAAATAAGAAATCTTTGTTGTAAAAATGATGATTTTAGGAGACAAATTGGATTACATAAAGTAAATGAAGATGATTTGCTTTAGGTTTCCCAAATTACTGTAACTTATAATTTATAGGTTGCTCATTGAATAAATCGATATAGGAATTACCGCGCTGGAAAGATTTTATGGTCCCGACTTGTTTTCGACATGATATTAGCTTACTTCGAATGCTCTCATCCTGATAATATGCAAACTCAATTTACCAATTTTTTTTGAAAAGTATTTTACTACACGGCATATTAATATATTGAACAATTCTCTAGATAACAAGTAAAAGCTATTTCGAAATGACAATTGGCATCTACAGACAGCGAATTGGAATTTTATTATCCATTCAGAAGTACTTTGTGAACAATTAAACAATCGTCTACTGTTTTTTTCTTATTGTTAACCAGAAGAAATTGAATTCATTTTTGAAAAGGGTTCAATTTAATCGATTCTAAAAAAACTTGAATTTCTGGCCAATGAACATGTTTTTATTGATTCAAACCCTGAATTTAACAAAGCATAAAAAATATTCGTAAAGAATGTATAATTTTTTTATCATTGTAACTTTTGAATTGAAATGAACAAATTTTATAAATGGCAATTTTATTGAAACAAATTGGAAATCTAAATTACCCCTCTAAAAAATAATGATTTACGGAAATTGTTGAAATCGGCGCGTGTTTGTTTGGCGTATTGGCAACAAATTTTCGACAATGCCGTTAAAATAATTTATGGCCAAATAATTGCCTTCAGGGGTAAAATTGGGTCGCCAATTTGTTCCTTTTTAACAATTCTTTGGTTGAGATATGCTAGTTTCATCAAATGTTTTGAATATTATGCATTCAAGGAAAACTTATTATTATTTTTGTTTTTTTCACTGACCACCACATTCCAGACAAGCTAAGAAATTATTTAAGGGTCTTAATTATGAAATTTATTTTTTTTTTTTCAAAAAAAATGTAAACGTCACATTTTATGATTACTTTTTTTTTACATAAATTATTTAAAACGTATTAGAACGCATTAATAAAGGCATAAATGTTTTGAAGTGAAATGAAAAGGAAAAAAAAGTACATTTTAAAGCAAAGGAAGCATAAAATATATAGGAAAAAAGCTCAAAACCGATTCTAGAAAATTTTTTACTTTGATATGTTATTTCGAGAATTTACATACTACTAAATATATGCCTTTACAGCGTTTTATTATTTCCAATTTATGAGTTAAGATTCGGTCAAGCAAAATTGACTTACATTCCTCAAAACATAGATAATTAAAGACCATACTTTCTCATATTTTCGAAATTAATTTTTATGTCGTATGACCTATCAAACCAACTATGTATAGTATTGCACCTGCCGTATTTAATTTGACACATATTAGTAGAATAACGCCACGCCAACTAGTATGTGCTACTTGCGGTTTATTATTTATTTATTGATTTTCTGAACACACTGAAATTCTTTAAGAAAACTATTTTTGTCCTCATCATGAACGAGAAGAATCCCTACATCAAATTCTCGATTATTTGAATTGCCGCTCTTCATTCTCTTATTTCTTTGACACCCTCTCATTCTGGCCAACTGTGTATTTCCCTTTGCATTATTCCCTTTCCTCCTTTCACCACGCTCTATTGTCCTCACTCCTCGCATCTATTTTGTTTCTGATTAAACGCTTGCTTATTGATTTCTTTAATGCAGTTCTTACTATTAGTCTAATATAAAAATCGAATGTGAAAGATTTTTTTAATATTCGATTTACTCACTTTGATATAAACTTGAAATTATTAAACCCGACAAGTCATATATATATTTTTTTTAATTAAAACTTGTTTTCGCATTTATTATTATGGAAAATTTTCAGAAAACTTGGGTAAAATAAAAGAGCAATAATGGAGCAACAAACGGGCCAGACTTCCAATCTTTCATTCAACGATCTTCCATTTCACATAGCATCTCAAATAGTTGAGCATCTGAATCTCGCAGACAGGTTTGACATTTATTTTTGAAACATTGCTATTTGAATTTTCTTTTTTTTCAGATTTAGCATGGGACTAGCGACGAAATTGCTTCGCAGATTGGACGAGGTGGTGCCATATCGCGATCCCGGTTGTTTGTCAGTTTTCGTTACAAAAACGGTATTCTTTTCCTCTTTTTTTTTGCAAAATTCAAATCACTCAATTTTAGGGCAGCATCAAAGTCACGTATTGGCGTAACGTGGCTTATGTAGATAGTGTGAATTTGACATTTGAAAATTGCGAGGGCGGGACTAAAGTCAACAGATGGCATAAGCATGTGCCCTACAATCCATCACAAAGAGTTCCATTAGAGTATGTATTACTAGGGAACAATTTAAATTTGATATTTGACTTTGTTTTAGGAACGAATTCTCGACAATTACCCCAGATAAGCATTTCACCGACTTGGCAATTCAATATTTCAACCGAATTGCATCGAATCCCGGTATCAACAATGTATATGTTTCGTTGGTATGTTGTGGTTTCATACTATCCTGAGACAAATTCACAACTTTTAGCCGAAAAGCGTCTATGACAAAATTCCGAGGCTCAAATGCTCAAAACTAAATGTGAAAGTGAAGAATGTAGAGGAATTGGAAGAGATTTTGGCGAAGTTGGCAAAAAAAGAGCTGGATGAGTTGGAAATTGAACTGACTGAAAACAATTCGATTGTTCCTAGAATACCAGAGGTGAGCGTTAACTACATATCTAAACCATTCAATTTTATTTAATAGAAAATTTTAGGTTGTAAATGTGAAGACGCTCATGATGGGTGGTCCGATTGAGGAGCCAACATTTATGTCGCTGTCGGCTCCATTTATCGAGGTAGATGGATACGGATTCCGTGAGCCGATTCTGGAAAATTTCATCACTGTAAGATCTTGAAAAAATTGGATTTAAATGGCAATTTTGAAAAATTAAGAGATGGGCAAACGGTGGAGGGCCAAGAGATTTCACGCAGCTTATAATCTATAATAGTTTTATCGATAGGTTTGACAGCATTGTCAAGAAAGTGCGCTGCATGAGATTCGAAGCTGACATGGCGCAATTGTGAGTGTTAATATACTTATTATGAAGCAGGAATAATTATCGTTTTTTTTTTAGACTTATATATCCTGAAGATCACAAAGAACTTGGGCAGTACATTTTTGCTGAAGATTGCTATCAGATATTCAGCGAAGTTTCTACGGATTCGGCGACATTGCTTAAAGGTCTCTATGAAATCATTCTGACGGTTACTGGAAAGGTGATCAATGGCGAAGCGGTAATGTCGCTCAGTGGTAAATGGCGATAATTCTTCTTAAAAATTTGCAATTGTAAATGTTTTATTTATTTCTTAAAAGTTTTCTGTAAATTTGTATAATTTCACCATTAAATTATTTTTTTTAAATATTTATTCTTGAATAAACCATGATTTCAAAATAGTCGTTATATAATGCATGAAATATTTTAAGAAAAAATTCCGAAAGTTTGTATTATTTTCGTTGCAAGAACATTTTTTAAAATTACGATTTTAAACTAAGCTAACACCGATTTTAGTAAAAAAAAAACTTGAAATTGTCGTCAGAAGAGCAAAAAAAAATTGCTCAGAAAAAAATTTCGAAGAGTTAGGTGAAGTTGAAATTTAGACGGGGCTGATTATTATTCTTTATTATTTTTTTAAACACATTTGAGGACGAAATTTTCAGCTTTTGGGTTTTAAAACGTGCTGAATCCACCAAAAGTACTCAATTCAGCAGAATTTTTCAAATTGTTGCCCAACAGTTCAAGACAACAACTGACTTTTTTTTTTATATTTTCCAAAAATGTGCACGCCATTTTGACATAGTCTTTACCATTTTTCTTTTTTCTTCCAGAATTTTAGTGACATCGACAAATTGCCAATGATTAATTGCCGTAAACTCGCAGTCGCAATTATGTCGACTGGCTTATTGGAAGATATTTTTGAGATAAGCATTTGGATTCTTATACATTAAATATAATCGAAAGATTGAATTGTATCACCTCTTTTTTTTGTATCAATTCAGTTTCAAATATTTCTGAAAGCAAAATGAAAACGCTGAAATTTTTAGATGTGTCAAGAGAAATTGAAGAGAGAGAAAAAAGGAGATTGCAATAATTGAGAAATTGCACTAATTGGACCACTTACGGATAGCGTGTTTCCAGCATTGAAATCACGTAAAATTATAATCAATTCGTGTACGATGACGACAAAATTGAAATAAACAATTCATAATGGTTTAAACTTTTTTGAATCTCCGTACAATGTTGATTCTTCAGCGTTGGTCTGATAGTGAGGGACAGGAGTATTTTGAGCACTTCAAATTGGAGGACTCACCGCTCGATTTTGACATGGTCATTGAAGATTTAAACTATATTAAATGCGATAAGGATATCATCGAACTGTTAGCTTTCAATTTTTATAAATAGCAATATTCGTGCTTTTTTCCAGCTTTGATGACTATACAGATCGATGTACATATATTGAAAATATTATTCGATGATGCTCTTAACTCCGTTCAAGTGTTCAGCAACGTGAACACGGAATTGGCGACATTTATTCAACGTGCCGATGTCGTTGAGTTTATTGGCAATGGTCAACTTGAAAAATGCAGCTCATGATGAAAATGCCCGATATGGAAAATTGCCGCATTTTTGAGTGAGACGTTCGATGAAATTCACAATGCTCTGTTTGAATGCTCATTTCGCAATGAATATGAATATGCATTTACTGGAATTACACATTTTTAGTGGATTCAGCATGTTTGAAAACCAAAAAGCAAAAAATTTCGTTCTCAAAAGTGTAAAAAATAAAAAATCTGAAAATCTGAAATTGTTTCAGACAAACTGAATTAGTTTTGCTTTCAGTCTATTGAAAACGAACTTGTCAGCCTCAGTTAAGTTCAATTGACCTGTCATGTGTTCAGAACAGGTCAGACTGCGGACTCAAAATTGTCCGCAGCACGTTTTGCAGATATAGCTGGCCACAAAAATATAAACTTTAATCTCAGCAGTTGATATCTTGCTAATTTTATTGATTCTAGCCGTGCTCGGCCAACACCAATAAGTAATTTATTAGAATTTTAAGTGTTAAAATACAAATTTCGGCTGTATTTATTGAATTTACTGGAATTACACATCTGAAAAAAAGTCAGTTATTGTCTTGAACTGTTGGGCAACAATTTTAAAAATTCTGCTGAATTTAGTACCTTTGGTGGATTCAGCACGTTTTAAAACCCAAAAGCTGAAAATTTCGTCCTCAAATGTGTTTAAAAAAATAATAAATTGAAATTATCATCGATAGAGGCGAGGCGCGGCGCCACAATGTGTCAAAAGACAATGTGTCAACAGCTTTTTACTTGAATTTTTGGACAACAATTTGAAAAATTCTGCTGAATTGAGTACCTTTGGTGGATTCAGCACGTTTGAATACCCAAAAGCTGAAAATTTCGTCCTCAAATGTGTAAAAAATAAAAAATCTGAAAATCTGAAAATGTTTCAGACAAACTCAAATAGTTTTGTTTTCAGTCTATTGAAAATAAACTTGTCAGCCTCAGTTAGTATTCAATTGACCTGTCATGTGTTCGGAACAGGTCAGACTGCGGACTCGAAATTGTCCGCAGCACGTTTTGCAGATATAGCTGGCCACAAAAATATAAACTTTAATCTCAGCAGTTGATATCTTGCTAATTTTATTGAATGAAGCCGTGCTCGGCCAACACCAATAAGTAATTTATTAGAAGTTTTAGGTGATAAAATACAAATTTCGGCTATATTGAACGAATTTACTGGAATCATTCACCAGAACACCCAAAAAATATTTTAAAAATAACTCCGTTGCTCTTCTCGGCCTTTTTTCTTTAGATTTATCTCTATTACTTTATCAAAGCACTTAAGTAAAATCTATCACGTGTTTTTATTCGCAATAGGTCCCGAAAATTAAAATCTTCCTGTAGACTTCATTAGATAGCATTAACCAGTATACAATTTGAAAACTTTGTTCGAATAAACCGGAACAAACCGAATATCTTGAGTTCACGAACAATTTGAGAATGATTAGAAGCTAATAAAATCTTAAAATTTAATATTCACGTTTCGCGTGTCAGCTACAGCAAGCCAGTCTCGTGGATTTCGCGGCTCAATAGCTGGAACGGTGGCTTGATTTGATATTTATTGGTCACACTTGCGAATGGATAAACCGGTATATTTATTGGAGAAGACTGACTTGTCCAATGATTTCTGCTGGCTTGTATTCAACTTACATATCTGTTTTTTTGGCTTCTGGACTAATCGAAACAACATCGATAATCTAAAAGTTATGAATTCTACAAACTTTGTACAATGGTTTGTATTCACCTCCTCATCATCGCTCTCAATTGACGGATTGGCAGATTCCTGTTGATTTTGAAATTGAAAAGCCCATTGATAAAAAGCTGGATGTATCAATGATTTCGGCGCAGTGCCAGGCATTTCTGTATTTAGGAATCCCGATAGTACATGGTTAGAAATATTGGAGGGATCATCGGCCACAGCATCCGAACGATCGACCGCCTTGGATTCCTTCGACCCTAAATTTGAAAAAAAAAACAATAAAAATGAGCGTATCTTTGGGGGTTACCTGGTAATGCAGCAGAATAAGAAGATGAAGCATCTGTTTTGTCGGATGACTTCTCTTCGGATGCTTCAACCTTATGTTTTTTTGCTATCGGACTGAGCGAAACAACATCGATGATCAAAAATAAATGATTACTAAAACGAATTTATAGGTAAAAATACCTCATCATCATCGCTATCAGAAGAGGCGTTAGGAGTTGTTTGTTGATTCTGAATTTGAGCCGAAGTTGGCTGTTTTCCGGTTACTACTATATTATTACACATGTCGAGTAAAACTGGTTTCCAATTCTGTAATACGAAATAATTTGCCGGTAATTTCAAAGCGAAACGAATAATTTTCAAGTTCAGACAACTTACAGCATTCGCGCGTATTTCATGAGCATAGTAGGTGCTCACCTTCTGCAGAAACTGTGCAATCATTTTCTCAAAATTTTCATAAGAAGATTGAGGATGTCCAGCTGGCTGAAAATGAGTTTAGTGACGAATTTTTGTCAGGTATTATTCAAACCAATTTTTTAGTTAAATCAGCTGCTAAACGCGCTATTTTTGGAGTGATCGGTAGGGGTTCAGACGGTATTTTGACGGACACTTGCGGTATGAAGCTCGGCTGGTTTTGTACAATATTTGGAGGAAAATCGACCAATGGGCTACCAGTTGACGCCTTCTCAGACAATTTTTCTTCGTTATTTGTCGACTTCATAGTGCAAGCACTATTTGAGACCGCCTCAAAAATCATTATTCCAAAATCGAATTTGACAAGTTTATTCAACATGCTATTTTTACCGTGTTGTGCAATCCATTTGATTTTACATTGCTACTCACATCGATTTTATTTGCATTAGATCTCTGTGCACACGCGGAAGCTGGGGTTTTAGTAGAAGGGGCTCGAGAGTTCGTGCGTTGCAGCTTTCGATTTGTTGGCACCTGAAAAAAAAATTAAAGACGAATAGTTTTTTGTGTAAAGAGAAATTTTCGAAAATATACACTTCAAAAAAAATGATAAAAAATTGGAATCAGATTTGCCAGAATTTCGAATGGTTTCAGAAGGTTTTCATAAATATAGCAAAACATAAAAAAAATTACCAATGCGGCACCAATTTCTTTAGCATAAACAGAGTTCAACATCTCTCTGAAAGCGCTCGGTGCAGGATTTTCAATATTTTGAGCTGCCAATTGAGCATTTGCGGATGGCCCACTAACTGATTGTGCACTTGAGAATGCTAGTGGTGTGGTGCCGGAATTTTCAGATGCAGTGCTCAGAAGATTAACAGCTTCTTCTTCTATAAACCAATTAAATATTTCACAAAAGAAAAAAAAATACATATTCATATATATTCATATTACCTTTAACAGTGACATTCTCCCCTCCGAAGAGATTTGTTGTATTTATTTTACCCACTGTTTGGGGAATTGTATGGGACGGTAACGACGCCAAAGATTTCTTATTTCCACAAATTTTGCTAGATGAGGATTTCTATTAAAGAAATTCATTACTGCTACTTTTTTCAAAGCTAGGATGAAAATTGAGTACTTACAGCTTTAACGATAGTTTCTTGAGTATTTTTGGCTTCAACATATTGAGATTCCTGATTCCGGAAAGGTGTGCTTGATGTGGATGTCTGAAAGTAATATTAGAGCATAAATTTTTTTCAAATTGAGATTAAAATATCAAGTACTTACAGTATTAGTACTGGTTCCTTGAGCATAGCCGGAGTTCATCATCTGCAAGATGTAGGACAGTGAATCTTGAGCCGTCTGCTGCGGACCTCCATTGAACTGCAAATTGTATGATTCATATTTTTTAAATAGGTTTTTATTACTGATTGACTCAATAAATTGGCAACCAATTGTGTTGTCTCAGGAGTGAACGGAAGAGTAGACGCAGTTGTTAAGTTGGGGAATGCATTGGGAACAAAACAAGCCTGATTCCATTCGAAGTTCTGAGGAAGTGCCAATGAAGCTTGTGAAGGTTCAGGTGAAGCTACAGCTTCAGTAGACAGTTCTGGACGAGGGGCGCATTGACTTTTTTTTTTCGAATGCATTTTAGTTGAGTGACCTTTTGGTGCCATCTGAAAAATAATTGAGTAAAAAAGAGTATCATTAACATTACAAAAAATAGTCAGTAATACCATATATAATAATTGAGATGATACGTTTGAAATTTTAAAGTTTCAGTATCAATAGTTCCAAAAAATATGAAAATTTGAATACAACTATTACACAACAGGGAAAATGTTAAATTCAAACTTTCTAGCTTATTATATTCAAAAAACTTTAGATACAAATGCGAAATCAAAGAAACCCTTGGAACAATTTTTAAATGAAGGCCAGAACTGCAAAGGACTAGTTATGTGCGGCCGCAACCTCCTGGCAAGACGGCATGCCAACGTGGGTACATTGTAGGTGTATTCGATTTTTGGTCATTTGACCTAGTTCGATCCACGCTCTTTTTTTTCCCGCTCATTTCTATGTACCATTTTATTCATTTATCCTCTAGCATTCATTGCGAATAGGGCCCTTCAGTCTTGTCTTTTTTGTACGGCTTGCGAGCCTTTTAGACATTTTGGCTATTATTCAAATGAAATTCTTTGATTCCAACTTTTTTTTCATTTTTTAGATCAAGAAGTTTTTCCACCAATTCGATTTATTGAAAACACGCACAAAATCCCATTTATCATTTATCTTCTTATATATGTTTTATTGCTTCAATGCTAAAAATGAATCATATTTTCAGGTAATCTAAGCAACATCGATAATATGTCCAACAAGAACGCTTTTTCTTTTTCTTATTTGGTATGCTTCGAACATTTCTTTTTTCAGTAGTATTTTTTTAATATTTTAGGATCGCATTGAAGCGTGTCGCCTTCGCATCAAATCACTTCTTCAATTAATAGTAAGCATTTTATTATTTTTATTCCAAAAAGATGAGATTGCATTTTAGAATAAAGCTGAAATTCAAACCATCATAGAGAAATCAATCATTGAACGCGTTCTTGCCTCTAAAGAGAAATGCAAGATTGCCATGCGGAAGCTCTCGATGATCGATCTAATTCATGAAGATTTTAATGTAATATTAATCATGCATATTAAGCTTCAAAAATTTTATTTCATTTTCAGACTCTAATAGAAATTGAGCACGAGATTGACGGCGTCGAGGAAGAATTGATGAGAATCCCCAAAGAATAAATGCCTTCTAACTTTTTTGGCCAAATTTTCTGTAAATGAATGATTTTTTTTTTAAAACAAAGTGGTTATAGATATTTGTGAATCTTGCAAAACGACGTATTCATGATTCAGTCAAAAACTCGTATATCGCGCACATCGTAAGCGTTATTCGATTGTCAGCCTTAAATTTGTTGATCAGCTTTGCCAATGAGCCATATAAATTTTTTGCGTTTTTCTCAAAGCAATATTAGGCTTGAATTTTGTTGTTTCTTTTGAGGCAAACCAACTTTTGAATACGTTTAATTAGACACAAACTCAACAGCTAAAAATAAGCGTGAAAGCTTTCCTTATAGAACAGTCCTATATCTTGATAAGTGCGTCAATCACGCTATGTTGATTTTGATTCTGATCATTGCTCCAACATCCCCCCGCGAAGTTGAAGATTACTGGTAGTACTTCAATCGCGGTTAAATGAGGCGATTCGCGTAGAGCGACGTGGTGATTCTTGCCACGGTGTTGTGGTTGCTGTAGTCGAGGATCCCCGGCACGGCTTTGGTGTTGCCATCTCAGTTACCGGCGATGTCCGTGTTGTCGGCACATCCAGTTCGAAATCCTCGAATAAAGGCGAATGTTGGGTCAGGGATTTGATTTCTTTCGCGTAGTTGATTTGCATGGCGTTTCCATTCGTTTCCTTGCCATTCGACTAAATAGTTCACCGATCCCAGTCGGCGGATGATAATAGCGGGAATCCAACTCTGCTTTGAGCGATAGCTCTTGACCAGACAGCATCTCCATTCCTTAAGAATTTGGGCTTAGCTCCGTGAAGCTGATCTAATTGAGCCTTCATTTTATGCATCTTTCACTTGGCCCTGATGCTTCACGACATCATCAGACTCTTTAGCGTTCTCATAATACTATCAATTCTACGTCTGACAATTTCATAAAAAAATACGTTATGCAGAATATACCTGAAAAAAATTTAGAACGACTAGAACTGAAGTTTCTAGTTTAATTTATAACATTTTATTGATGTAAATGATTTTGCGAGTTGTGTTAGCGAATTTTGTGAAATACTGAACTTCCAAAATTTTTGGTATTTATTGTTTCAGAGTTTTCAGTCGGGTTGTTCATTTTTTTCTCGAAAATGTTAATCTCAATTTTTTCTTTTATCTTTTAGACCAATTTGAATACTAAAACATACCTGGTGGAATTCTTATTTTGTTCATTGGTGGTTTGCATATTTTCTATCAAATCCCAAGGAGCAATACTGTTTTAAAGAAAAGTTTGAATAACACGATTTTAAGAAACTGTCAAATTTATTTTTTCATTCACCTTTATCACGGAAAAACACGGGATATAATGAAGGCCTCTGGATGTGATCCATTCATTAAATTTAATATAGTGGGTATATAATACAATGGGATAAAATTAATTACTGTTGTGCACGGAGCGTCCTCAAATACTTCTTACGATCAATTTGACGCACGTATTGCTCGCACACCTCGATTTTAAGCTGAAAATAAATGAACAATACTAAAAGACAAATATGAAATATTATAAGGTTTTTGTATTTAAGAATTGCATACCATTGCTTGATCATGATTCTCATGTTGACCTTGATAACAGAACTGACGATATCTATAAAGTTCTTCAATCGCGTTGTTCATTCTTAAGAATTCTCGTAGAGCTTCTTCTGGAATGCCGTCGACAAGGTAGAATTCCTGAATTGAAATTGTTACGTTTACTTATATTTCAAAAATTGATTTTCACTTTTTTCTGTAAGACAACTGCCAAGCGCCGGCCCACTCTGTACCACAACGTTCCGCATCGAGACAGTTCTCGTCGTTCAAGTCGTTGCTGACGAACTGAAAAAAAAACGAATAACCTTTCTCGGATTTTAGTAACTATGTTTAAAGGTTTTATAAATATAAAAACACAAATCAAACTATTTTTTATTTTAAGAATGCGAAATCTTCGAGAGCCTCATTGTTGTTTTATATTACCTTCAGGGGGCTCATCAGTAGCCGGGGCACGCTGTCGACGGGCTCGTCTTGGCGCCGCAGTTCGTCTTGGCGGTGCAGCTTGTGCAGTAGACGCTTCGGACCCGTCAACCGGCGCTGTTGAAGGCGGCTTGGTCTTTCGTCGTTTGGTCTTCGAGGCTGGAGCAACGTCGGGTATCTGAAAACCAATACATTTAAAAGTTAGAGTTTTTAATGTTTCAGATAAGTATGCACTATTGTAACCGATAATACTTACAGTTTCCTTCGAGTTAGACTCAGTCACTGTAGTCGTCGATGGTCCTTGATTTGAAATATTGGAAGAATTATCGGCCGCAACTTCCGCACGATCGACCGTCTCAGGTTCATTCGATTCTATATTTTGAAAAAAAAAGAACTATAAAAAATGAGCTGGCTTGTTTTAACCTTGTGTATCCTCTTCCAACTGCAAAAGGGAAGAAATTCGTGTAAATGGATGCTTCGGCAGGTTTCTTGGAGCTGGCTGAGACGATGAAGCATCTGATTTGTCAGCTGGCTTCTTCTTCAAAACTTTAACCTTACTTCTTTTGGCCATTGCGCTAAGCAAAACAGCGTCGGTGGCCTAAAATTCATTATTACGCCAGGATTTTCAAAATGTGTCTACCTCTTCATTATTGTTCTCAGTAGATAGCTTGGAAGGTTCCAGTTGGAAAGACAATGGCAACGACGGTTGAGTTGTCACTAGTTTCTGTCCAATAACGGAGCCGTTAGGTTTTGCCTTCCGTGATCTTGGCGGTTTTTTGTTTGAAACATTTGCCACAGCGCTCATACTGTTGATTTCAGTGCTGCAAGCAGATTCCCAGTAACCAATGAAAACTATCCGCAAGCAATCGCCTTTATCAAGGAGAAATTTGGAAACAACAAAATACGAGTGAAAGAATTGGGAAAACAACTCAAGAATTGTAAAGCACAGTCGAGTAAGATCGAAGATCAACAGATGTTATTCGACGAAGTAGCGGCAACTTTGAATCAATTGGAAACTAGCGGAGAAGCAATGGATATCGAAATGACCAGAGAATTGATTACGAAGAAATTCTCGCGAGAGATCCAAAAGAGTGTCTACCGAATGCGTGAAGAATCACCGGAAGATTGGAATTTGACCACACTGATGAAAAGCCTGGAAAAGACTTTGAAAACGGAAGCGAATGTTGAGAACGACTGTGAAAACGAACATGTCAGAGAAGTGAAACAAAATGTGGTTCGAAGAAATATAGTTAACGAAAAACTATTCCGGTGTTATTTCTGTGAGAAAAATCACCGCGCAGACAATTGTCCTAATTATTCTTCTATTGACGAGAAATGGAAACGAATTAAGGAACTCAAAAATTGTTTTAATTGTTTAAAATCTGGGCATTCCTCAAGAGAATGCAGAAGCGAGAAATGCAGAAACTGTCAAAGAAGTCATCATCGATTGTTGTGCAAAAACATAAATAACAGGAACAATAAAGCACAAAAAACAACAGCGAAGAAGAAAAATGACGGAGGGAGTCATCAAAACGTTTCAATACCAGTACGACAGGAAGATCAACGAGAAGTCAGTCGAACACGTCAAGCACATCAAAATTTTGTGAATGGGACAGGCGACAGCTATTTACCTACAGTTCAGATGTGGGGATACAGCCCAGCAACGTCGGAGTGGAAAAAAATCGTCGTGATGCTTGATTCTGGAGCGAATTCGACATATGTGAAAAAGTCAATCGTAGAAGACTGGCAATTGGAGATGATTCGCGAAGAATGGGTGAAACTACAAACATTCGGACAAATCGCGAAGAATCCAGAAAAATACCAAGTTGCAAAAATCTTGATAGACAAAGGAAACAACCAAAGAATTGAAGTTGAAGCGACAGTAAAAGATTATCTTGTGGAACCAATCGATAAACCAGTGCTGGATGACCGTGATTCAAAGTTCCTGGAAGACCAAGGTATCACTATCAATCCGGAATGCTTAAAAACAATATCAGATCCCGATGTAGTTGTTGGTAATGATTACATTTATGAATTCTGGATGCAGCACACACTTCCATCAGGATTGACATACATCTTAACCACAAATGGTGCAGTAATCACTGGACGTAGAGCTGACCATGATGATATGAAGATGAAACAGGAAAACTCGACACGACGAGTGAATACGGTAGTGCGCAACGTCGTAGAAAACGTCATTGAATTTGAAGAAATGAAACAAGGAGAAATCGCTGGACCAGTGAATGACGAAATTCACCAAGAAAATGAATTGGTACTAAAACGAATTGAAGATACAATGGAAAAACGAAGTGATGGATATTATGTGGAGCTACAGTGGAAGGACGGAGCTGAGACTCTACCAACAAACTTCACATTAGCATTAAAAAGATTGGAAAGTGTTTTCAGATCCTACCCTATTGAAATACTACGTAAGATTGACGAAATTTTTAAAACACAGTTGAATCAAGGAGTGTTAGAAACAGTCGAGAATCCGGAAAAGTCAGAAGGAATTGTTCATTACAACCCTCATCGTCCAGTGATCACACCAACCAAACATACAACGAAGGTTCGAGTAGTAATTGACGGTTCAGCACACTACAAGAATGAGTCTTCACTGAACGATTATCTTTTTCAAGGACCAACAATGATGCCTTCATTGACAGGAGTTTTAACACGGTTTCGAACAGGAGAAGTAGCCATCGCGGCGGATGTTGAAAAGGCTTTCTTAAACGTCCGAGTCATAGAAAGAGACCGAGACGCAACGAGATGTCTTTGGGTCAAAGATGTTGAGAAGAGCACGACACCCGAAAACATGCTAATTGTTCGATTCACTCGAGTAATATTTGGACTAAACTGTTCACCATTTTTGCTAGCAGCAACGATTCATAATCACTTGACAAAAGATAAAGAAACCCCTGAAATCGCGCAATCAATTTGGGAAAACTGTTATGTTGACAATGTAATCTTGACAACTGATTCATCAGGAACGGATATATACAAACAATGCAAGCGTCTGTTTGATGAACAAAATATGAATATACGCGAATTCATGTCGAATTCGAAGGAATTCATGGATTTCGTTGCAGAAAAAGACCGATCAACTGACGAAAACCCGAAGATTTTAGGAATTTCTTGGAACTGTGATCAAGATGAATTGACGTTCCGATGTAACATCAAAGACGAAGCCGATGGGAAGGTGACGAAAAGAATCGTATCACAAGCAATTGGAGCAGTATACGACCCGATGGGAATACTTTCACCTCTTATGCTGCCGCTGAAACTTTTTTGAGAAAATTATGGAATCGAAATTTGACGTGGGATCAAACACTTGACGAAGATCTACAACTTGAATGGGACACTATTAAGCAGCAAGCAAATGGATTTTCGAAAACATTGCCAAGGAAAATCATGCCGAAACATGGGCCAATGAAAATAATTGTTTTTGCTGATGCAAACATCAATGCAACTGCAGCGTGTATTTACGTGATTGATTCGGAAGCACATCTATTGCGCGCAAAGCAGAAGCTAATTCCGAAGGATGATGTATGGACGATTCCAAAATCGGAAATGACCGCAATTCGAAATGCATGCGAGTTGGCGAAAGAAGTTTTACATGATTTACAAGAAGGATCGAAATTTGTGGAACATCTCATAATTTTTTCGGATAGCGACATTGCCCTCAAATGGATCAAACGATCGCCTGGGAAAAAAGAAATTGGAGCATTCATTAATAACCGACTACGGGACATTCGAAAAATCGTTTTTGATATAATGAACTCCAACACTCATGTACAATTTGGACATGTTCCAACATCAGAAAACGTCGCGGATATTGGAACAAGAGGATCCGGCAAAGACGAGTTTGCTGAACATCAGTGGTGGACGGGACCAAGAGAATGGCTGAAAAGCGAAGAATGTAAGAAAAGTTTATTTTCAATAAATGATTCCGAAGGCTTCGAAATTCAGAGAATTGCAGCAGTCCGAAAGGTAGTTACGAACAGAGAATCGCTATTTGGAAATATCGAAGGAAAATCGATTACTCAAATAAAAAAAGTTGCAGCATTTGTAATTCGATTTATCAATCGTTCTATAAGCAAATTGTCACCAGAAAGAAAGAAAAAGATCAGAAACCTAATGGAAATAAAAGGCGATGGATTGGATTATGGACCATTGTCAACGGAAGAACTTGAACAAACTGAAAAATTATTGATCAAAGACCATCAAAAACTAATTGATCAAAAACGATTGACAGAATTGAAAAATTTGAAAATTATCATGAACGAGGATGGAATTCTCAGATGCCGAGGACAAATGGGAAACTCGGAAGGAACTCATGACGAAAAATTTCCAATTTTGATCAAAGAAAACTCGGCAATGGCGAGATGGCTAATAAAGGAAGCGCATGGAGACTATCATTCGTCTACGTCTCAAACAATGGCGAATTTTCGAATGAAGTTCTGGAGCCCAAAGTTGCGAAAACAAGTGTTGAATTTCAAAGCGAAATGTATTCCATGTCAAAAATGGGGAAAATTGCCGTATAGATATCCAGAGATGATGGATCTTCCAGGATACCGCGTACAAAGACATCGAGCTTTTGAATGCGTTGGAATTGATTTTTTTGGACCAATCAGCTATAGAAATGACAATGGAGAGGTCGGAAAGGGCTACGGAGTATTGATTACATGTGCAACAACACGAATGATGTTCGTGGATTGCACAAAAAATCTATCGACAGGTTCATTTCTGAATTGTCTCCGAAGATTTATGTCTTTTTATGGAGTACCAACAACAATTGTGTCTGACAACGCACCAACATTTCGACTAGCTGCAGAAATCTTACAAGAAGCGCAAACACAATGGCCGCTCGACATCAGACAAATGACAGCTGAAAAAGGAATTGATTGGAAGGTGATTACACCGTACTCCCCTTGGATGGGAGGGATGTACGAAAGACTAGTAAAATCAGTAAAAGAATCATTCCACAAGAGCACTGGAAAAAAGATCCTTGAATGGGACCAATTGCAAACTTCAATGATGGAAATCGCCGGAATGTTGAATTCTCGCCCACTAACTTACATTGGATCGGAAACCGATGATTTCCAGTCATTACGGCCAATTGACTTTATCAACCCAGGAGTTCACCTCAATCTACCATTCGAAGAAGTTGAAGACCCAGTCATTGGAGCATTTGTTCCAGCAGAAGATGCAGCGCGACTTCAATCAAAACAAGACGCGATGACATGGATAACAGCACACAAGGAACAACTGAACAAAATGTGGAACATTTGGCAAACAGAATATATGCGAGATCTGCGAGCGAACCACAAGAGATCCATGAACAACAAAAGAGGATGCACAGAAATCCCTACAATTGGAAAAATTGTTTTATTGCATGAAACTTTAACGCCACGCAATCACTGGAAATTGGCAAGAATTGTCGAAATCAAGGAAAGTGCAGATGGAAATATTCGCGAAGTCGAAGTCGAAACCGCTAACAAAAAACGACTCAGACGACCAGTGAATATGATTGTGCCACTAGAATTGCCAGAAGAAACATTCACGAATGATGAAGAAAAACAAGAAAGTCCAAACGTAAGCGAAACTGATGGAAACATCAAAAGATACAACATGCGAGAACGGAAACCAGTAAACTACCGCGAAGAAGGAGAAGAGGAGGAACGTCAAGATAACTGTATCAATGTGACGATGAAAAAACCATCACTGAATACAATTGGATGGATGACAATTGCTTTGATAACAATGCTGATAGCAGGAACAGGAGCACACGAATCTCATTTGGAATGT